GTTAACAAGGCAGTAAAGGTTTTATTCCAACTTCAGATTCTCCTATATTAGCTGATAACAAAATCGGCAAGCAAGAACTTCATTTTATTTTATAATTAAAAAGCTCAAAATGATACTGCTGTAGCTCTGAAGGCCTGAAGTTGGGGTTGGATCCAAGAATGACGTAGGTCTAGGAAAGTCAGCTGTGGTTTTTTTTGGCTGGAAAGACACGTGTCTACATATGATTGAGGGGGAGGACAAATAGTATTCACACTATTTGTAAATTTGGTATTTCTAACCACACACAAGAGTGGAGAGGAGAGGAGTATCAAAACTAGGTGCAGTAATTCTCAACTGAGTCTGTTTTTTAAAGCTCTGGTTTCTATACTATTGATTATAGCTCTCTCTAAGGAAGTCAGTTATACACAGAGGCACGGAGAGTGGTAAGCACATGATACAGGGATGCCTAGTATTACAGAAACATGAAATGCATAAGCTGCGAAAATGTGCAAACAAACAGGATTTTCAAGTTCCTACAGTTGCTACCATAAGATTTTTGAGTTACACAAACTCCCCTCTACCCCAGAGTAGCAGCACAGAGGTAGCTGCACCAATGTGTTTAGTACAGATGGATGGGGCCGGGGCAGGAGAGGAAGGGAGAGAGGGAGAGACAGAGGGATGCATGGATGGCCCAGCCAAGAGGATATAGGTTAAGGTGGCCTCCTGTCTGCAAGAACTACCCCATAAGGCTCCTCCAAGTTCTTTACTCAGTGCCTTTTTAATCATTAACTTCCTTCAAGCTCTGGAAGGAAGCTGACTGGCCTGTTCCTTTCCAAAAGGCAGTGGCTTCCCCAAGCAAAGCCAAGCATTCAGAGCAGCCTCCTGGTTCTGGGGGTAGATTCTAGCAGGCCAGAGTCTGTGGCTCAGTTAGGTCACCCTGGCCTTCCTGCCTTTTGGACTCTGAGCAGACCCTGCAATTCGTTCCTGGTTCACAGGTGCCTCTTCATGGTTGCCTTGCAGAATCTCCAGTTTGAGGGGTTTCTGCAGGCCCTAATCCATCTGCAAGGCTGTCCAGGAAGTTCAAGAAGGGGCCCTGGGAGGCAGCTTCTGTAAAATGCCCACCACCCTCCTAGACAGCAGTTGGTACCTTTTCTTCACCAAGTGCAGGTGCACAGACCCTCCTAGCTGCTTCTCCCTTTGCCAGTCTCCTGGACTCTCCTGTCAGCGTCTCAAGTGACAGGTAGTTCCCCCAGACCAAGATTGCTCAAGACACCATTTCCAAAGCTCAACCCTCATTCAAAAACTTAAAATGGCTCAGTGCTCTCCCACCTTGCTAAACTCAGCTCTGAGCTGGCCTTCAAAGCCTTCTAGAAACCAGAACGGTGAGGCCAGCGAACCTTATTTCAGTTCCTGAAGGGCCATTTTTTCTCAGTGCCCCTACACCAGAATGTGGACACGGGTCCGAATCCAACAACCAAGAGTCTTGTGCCAGGATTAAAGTTTTTCTCTCTGAATTTTTAGGACCTTGGATATTCTCCCATCTTTGCCACCCACCTCCAGACAGCAGTCAGTCTCAGTCCCTCCCTTCCTTTCGTCCTTCCTCACACCCTTTCTCTCTCACTCACAAGCAGCAGGCATTAATTAAACCTCTTCTAGAAAATAGATTTCACTAGCTGCAGGAATTCTGAGTAAGAGCCAGACCTGGAGACTGAGAAGTCTGGGTAAGAAAGATAAGCCCATAACAGCTGTGAACCCGTGGGCAGTGCGGTTCCCATATCCAAGTGACATTCTGAATTCCAGCTGTCCCAAATTCTTGAAAAACAAAAAAGGGGGCACAAATGCTCCCACCCCCCTCAGCCTTTGGCTGTATTCTCCAGGGCTGACCTTTGACAGAGGCAGAAGAACAGGACTTTGCTCCATCTGCCAGTGGATCACAGCTACCTCCAACAGAAACACCATCCAAAAACACCTGCCTCTCTTCCCTCAACAGAGCTGCAAAATATACTGCCAGAAGCGCGCAAGAGTAGCTCCCAGCTCTGCATGGGAAGCAGTTCTTTGGGGCGGGCAGTGCCCACTGGAGCAAAGATAATGCAATCTGAAGTAGCCAGTGGGCTCTGCCAGTGGTACTTGGTCTCTCTGAATGCTTCCTCCATCATGGGCAGGGATGAGGGATGCTGAAGGGAGCTGTGGCCATGGCTCAGGGCCCTGTTAAGCTGTGGAGGATTCACCCCCCAGCAAACAGCCTTAGCTCCCAGAGTGCCCATCAGCCTCTCACTCCAATTCTGGGATTAGAACAACTGATCTCCTTCCTGGAAATTCTAGAATCTCCACTGAGGTTAGAGACCCAGCTGTCAGAGCCTGACCCATAAAGTGAGCTCTCTGCCCCAAATACACACAGAAATGAACTTGTCTCTAGTGAGAGTACAGGAATATTTTTAAATTTGATGAATTTAAGGATAACATTTTGAAAATGGTGCAGCACAATGGAAAAACATGGATTGTGGACTCTGTCAGACTGGGTTCAAGCGGGAGATCCATTTTTTTAACTAGACAAACACTGAGTACCTACCACTTAGAGGGTGCCAGGCTGGGTGCTGGGGCCACAGAGATAGTTCCACCCCTCCCCCACCAGTGGGGTATCTGACAGTCAACAACTCATCACAAAGCAAAGTGGTGAGAGCTGAGGAAATGCCCACAGGAATTTGTGGGCCCTCTGAGTGAGCCTTCTGAGCCCCAGTGTAACCTGGGGCTAATTACTTATTAATTCACTATTCAAAGGTGAATAAATATTAGCCTAATTACTATTCAAGCCAATAAAAAAAAAAAGTTACTGATAACTGCAGTTTTACAAATACTTAAGAGTGCTATGCTCCAGAGGCCAGGTGGTTTACCCTGTCCTTGGTACCCAAAAGTAGCCTCCCACATATCAGTGAGGGTGAGCTTGCCAAGAGCTAATCCCTAAAAGAGACAGAGCGCCTACGTGTCCTTTCTCTGCAATAGGCAATTAATTTAACCCACAACTTAAAGAAAGCCAGAAAGGAGAGGGCAGATTCACGCACTGGTTTTCAGGCTGTAACCATGCATCTCCACCTCTCCAGGGAACAGGAGGTTTGTCAGACCATCTGCGTTAAACTCTCTTCTCACAGATGTCCAAACTGGGCACCGACACCCCTGAGGAGAAGTTGTTGCCAAGCCCCATCTGCAGTCACGTCACATTTGTAAGACTGGGCTGGGCACTGTCTGCTCCACACTCGGATTCATCCGAGGGCCTTCTGCAAAGAGCAACAAATGTCCCCAAGTTAAAAAGCCCTCTCGAGGTCCCTTTGGCCATTCACCTCACTTTCCCCCCTTCGCACCGATCTGATTCCACATCTCTCGCGATTTTACTTTTTGAATGCTTACAAAGCTTCCTTGCCTTTCCACGAAGAATCCAGCCACCCAGGCGGTAAAAGCCTCGCTCCCCCAAGGAGCCCCTTTGCCACAAGCTGACCGCCTAGCCGCAGTGGGAAAATATGGCTCCACATCCGCCTGCACCGCTAATCCTTTAACCATCCACAGGTACAACTTGAAAGACCACTGCTGCCACAAAGAAAGCAACCTGTTCTAAGCAGATGCAATGTCGTATGTGTAACAAAGCCGGCTTCTTTAAAAGATCGCGACATGCGCAAGTTCACAAGCAAAAGCAACACCGTGGGGTCGGGACCACGCAATAGCCTAACCTGAGCTTCCAGGCACTTCAGCCCGCGCACGAAGCTGCCCCGGCGTTGGGCCCCGCGACTCCCGCAGGCGCTGGGCGCAGGTAGCTGCGGGGAGGAGCGAGCACCACCCCCAGAAAGGCCGCGAAAAAGTTGCAGCCACCTTCTTACCTGGAGACGAGAGGGTTAGGAACTGCCCGGGATGGGGGATCCCAGGAGCTCGAGTTGGGGCTGAAATCTCGTTGCAGGAGTGCGGGGGCCGAGCGGGAGCGGGTTGGAGGGGCGGGGACGACGTGGAGGCAGGAGAGGCGCGGGGCTGGAGGCGGGGAAGCAGGAGGCAGTGGGGGTGGGCTAGTCGCCTGCCAAGAGGTAGGGAGAGGGCTTGGGGAGAGGCCGGCGAAATCACAGGCAAGATTAGAGGGCGCTGGGGCTTGGACAGCGGGCGGGGGCTGGGACAAGAGACTCGCGGGGGTGGGGGTGGCTTGGCTTGGAGAGACGGAGGGAGTCGAGGGGCTGGGGTTTGGGGAGGACGCGGAGATGAAGGAGGGAGCTTAGTCGCGCGGTTCCGACCCCTGTTCGGAAGTCGACCCCAGCCTCCCCACCACTCTCCCACAGGAGACACTGCCCGGTTGTTCGGGCCTCGGCGCGGCCAGAGGACCCCCACGGTCTCCCAACCCCTGGCCCCGGGACTGCTGCCCCTCTGTGGTCTCCGCGCCGCTCATCCCCAACGACTACCAGCCTGGGCCTGGCCCGCGCCGCTCTCACCGCCCATGGTCCCGGCCCGGCTCCGGCTCAGCTGCTGCGCGCGGGATTCGGCGTTGGCCGCCTGCTCCGCCCGGAGCGAGGGAGGCGAGGACCGCGCGCACGGACCGCGGGACGGCGCAACAGCCCACAGCGCCCTCTGCTGACCTCGCCGCACTCCGGGCTCGACCCGCCCTGCGCCGGGCGCCCTCGAGCTCCGCCCCAGAGGCGGTCCCGCCGGGGAGAAGGGCGCCCAAGGGGTTGCAGGGAGACGCTGGGTCTTGGAGGCCAAACGTCGCCCCCAGAGAAGGTCCAATCTTCAGAGCACCCGGCTGGCGAACGCTACCGTCAAGGGCACCCTGAGGGCACCGGGACCGCGGCCACATGGACGTAGGGCCGCTGCAAGCCTCACAACGCCCTGACTTGGGATTAGGGACTGAGCGGACGCACGCCTTGGCGGGAGTACACAGACCCAGCCCGGGCCCGGGGCCCTAGTATGGGCGCCTTTCGGCCGTGTGACTGGCCCGGAACAACCCTGATCTCCATGACGGGCAAGCGTGTTTGGGGTTCGCGACCAACTAGTACCTGCTGCCGTGTGGACCCAAAGTGTCAGGATTCTCGCCACCGTGCCCCTCATCCTCCTTCACCCTACTCCACGCTTCTCTTCCGGCGCCGACCACATCCGGCTGGGTATGTCAACTGGAAACCTTGCTGTCGCTGCGTTTTGGGATGGTCTGCGGAATGGCCCTGGGGAGTTCGCAGTCTGCGAATCCTCTCTCCCCGCCCCCTCCAGGCCCCGCGGTTTCCTCGGAGTGAGTTACTGAAGAGCCACGGAGCACTTGACAGATTCCTGTAACTCTGTTAGGCATCTGAGAGTTGAAGTTAATTTAAGACCGAATTTGTGAGTCATTTTTTTCAGATGTTAGGTTCCACTTGGTGGCGGTGATTCCTACATGATTTCTCTGAGGGAGATGATCTGACCTACTGCTGTTGTCAGAGGTCTTTGGTATCAGTTCGAGGAGCACAGTGACTCCTATGTGCCCTTGCACAACTGGCCTTGTGCAAAATAGACACTCATCAGTATTTATTATTTGCCTTTGAGGCACACTTTCTGGAGGACCTAATCACTTAGCCTCTAATTTCACTCCTGTATCGATGGCTCCCAAATCCATACACTACATCCAGATATTTTACCCATATTTCTACCTACTCTTTGGTTTTCTGCGTAGAACTTTCCATCTCAAATTAGCACGTCTTGAACCAAATTCTACCTCTTCTCAGGTCCCAACCCCATCTACCCTGTGGTCTCACCATTCCTGCAGCCACCTAGGATGCCTTCCTCACCTGAAGGCTCAATGTCCAGTCAGTGTTTGCTTCCAAACCCTGACAACCTGCCCTTCTTACCTCATTCCCATGAGTCCACACTGACCTTAGCTCCTTCCTGCCCTGACTACTGACACAACCCCTCCCAGTCAATGAACCATGTATCTCCCAACACAAAATCTTTTCATCGTCCCCTTTAGCATCCCTCCCAGACATTTCCATCTGGCTCACAGTCCACCCCAGCTCACCCAACACTTCTTCCCTCTTCGGGGTCCTCCTGATTGTCCTCTCTCACTAATTCCAGTGGGATCTACCCCTTGGGCTGGTGTACCGCCTCCCTCTTCCCAACATGGGTTACTCAGGGCATCTGCTGTAAATGACAAAGAACCCAATTCACACTTGCTTAAATAAAACAAGAATTGATTGATTGATGTAAATGAAAACCCCAGGGCAGATGTGCTTCAGGCCTGGATTTAGTTCCAGGGACTAAAGACTTCAGGGACTCTCCATCTCTCAGCTTTGCTTCCTTTGGTGTGAGCTACACTCTCAGGTCCCATGTGAGACCCCAGCAGATCCAGGCTCATAGTAACAAGTCCAGCAGAAAAACAGTTCCTTTGCCAACTATTCTCACAAGCTGTGGGCCTGACTTACATTGGCAGGACTGGGTTACCTGTCCATCCTGTTCTCCCAGCCACTGTCACCCCATGGTAAGTTGTTCCCTTTCTCTCAGCTACCTTCTCATTCCCCACAGGGAACTTCTGGCTGCTCCAGGATCCCTTCTCTGTCACTGGGGGACTAAAGGTGACTCAGGGGCACCATCTGGAACCATTTCTCCACAAAATAATGCCACACCACCACTTCACTTTGCTGCAGCCCTCCTGTTGGCACAGGTCATGCTAGGGCAGAGTTTCAAACAGGAAGTAGGGCACAGGCCGTCTCTGCTTTCAGCTTCCGCAACCTGCGTGGGGTTTCTGACTTTGTACCACACCTGTCTCTAGCTCAAGAACTGGCACAGAGGTGACCTCAGGCCCCTCAGGGAACCAGGCATCATCCTCTCTAAGACTCATTCTCTCCAATCCCTTTCCTCGCATTCCCTATTCCGTGAGGGCTGCTTCTTTGCCTCCTCCTCTCTCCCCTGTGGACTTTGGGTACTGAGTAGTACCCACTCTGCCCTGTCCCTCAGGGCAATAACACCTCATGACTTAGCCATAAAGGAAGAAGGGGCTACAAGAAAAGAAAAGGTTCCTACAGGGAAAATATACATGGGAAGCATCTCAAGACCATTCCCCCATGAAACCTCTTTCTTTTGTGGTTGTTGAGGAGATAGGATGTTGGCCTGAAGCAGCCAGTGGCCATCTGGCCAGAACCTGGGGAAGCTGTGCCAGATTAGCTGACTCACAAAAAGCAGAGTCAAGAGATAGGCAGCTTTCTGTCATGCTTGAAACCAGGACCTGGATTTTTCAATTACATGTGTAATAAATGTCCCGCTTTCCCCAAGCAAATTAGAATTGGTTTTTCTGTCACTTGCCAGCAAGAGAGTCCTAAGTACTCCAAGCCCATAGCACAGTGTCTGGCACCTTGGTTCCTGCGAAACTAACTATTATCATTATTCATCCGATAGAGGAGCGAGCATGCCCATCAATGACGGTAAAGCAGAGTAGACAGGGAAACGTGCAGTGCCTTTGGTTCATAACTGTGGTCTCCCTTGCTATTCCCAGCCTGCTCCTTTGTCCTTTCCACATACACATCTGGGCCCGCAGGGAAACTCTCAAAATTCATTGAAAGCTGAACCCACCCATCTTATAAAAACAGCCCTGGGCTCACCCAAATTGTGCATATTCTGCTAGGCAGCATTTGCTGCCATTTGACACGAGCAATCCTCGCCTAGACAGAGAGCAGCGCAGCTAGGGAGCAGGAGCCCATCTTCAATTCAGTTTCAATGCACTGAGCAAATATTTGCACAGCCTCCTTTGATTTGTGCTGTAGACTTAGAGAAACAATGGGCTTCTGTCTTCACTATTAAAGGAACTTTACTATGGGGAAAGACACAATCTAGGACACAGACTGAGGTAACAATACCAGGAGTCGTCTGGGGGAGGGACTGTAAGCACCAAAGTTGGTTCTGCCTGCAGTCCTGCCTTAAAACAGAATTGCACATGTGCGCAGAACATTTCTTTTGGGTCCACCACAGTATCTAGGTTACAAATATTATTTTTAAATTCTATTTAACATGGATTTTCTTTCTCTAATTATAAAAGGAGTGCCTATATATTTTTTGTGGACACTTGGAAAAATACAAAGTACGTAAAATAAAGATGAAATAAAAATTACTCCTAATAAATTTGTGTCAATAAATATAGTAGAGAATATCAAACTAAGATGTAAAGAGAGAAGATTGTCCCGTGCATGCTCCCACACCATTGCTGCCAACCCCAGGGCCTCAGGGAGAAAAATATCTTGCAAAAGGTTAAAGGTCATTTCTTAGGTTCTTGCAAAAATGCTGGACTCTCCCTAACACATGTATATTTTAAAAAACTGTAATCTGAGCCTCTCAGCTCCAGGGTGGTCTGTTCTCTGTTATTTATGTATGCATGATTCATTTTCCCAGCTACCAGCTGCAACCCTTTCTCTCCACCCCCAGCGGGCTTATTATACTAGTCCCTTCCCCTCCTGAGAGCAACTAAGGAGGGCAAACTCATTTTACCATCTATTTTGGGTGAAATTTAATTAGAAAGGCAAATCCAAAAGAACAGAATACAAAATAACTTCATTAAATAAAATAGGACATGGCTCCCGAACCTGACCTTGAGCCAAAAAAAAAAAAAAAAATCACATCACAAAGAACTGAAGTAATTTGCTGAATCATAGGTCTAAATATTCGTTTTTGTCCTCTAAACTCTAAGCCCAACCGAAAGATGTTTCTAAGGAAAAAAGAAATAAACAAGCACTAGATGAACTCACAGAAATCTCATTGAAAAATCATCAAAGGAAAACAAAGATTCGGGCTTTTTCATCTACACCAGTGCTTGGCACATGCTTTGTAACAATCAGATGAATGCATGAATGAAGCAAGAGTCCATTCCTCTCATTTTACGATTAGAAGCCAATCAGAAAGGAGACAGGAGGAGAATGGGAGCTGGGGAGCTCTCTGCAGTTTCAAGGCCCCTTGGGAAACAAAACCTGGAGTTCCATGGTCATGAGAGAGGCGGGGCCCATTTAACATCCCAGACTTCCAGTGAGCACCCAAAGCAGAAACGATGGAAGCTTGAAAACAGTCTTAAAACGCTACAAGACAATAATTGATCATGCAGAATTCTATGGCCAGAGAAAACAAGGAACGGAGGGTAATCTACTTGTTCTGAATCAATCACAGCGACATAATGTGAGAGCCAGGACGAGCATGTAGGCTTCCCGAACACTGCAGGGACCTTTTCACTGAACTGCAGTCCTTTCTTTACCCCAAATGTATATTTTAAAACACTGAATGAAAAGATAATCTCAGTATTATCCAGAGAAGAGGTGACCAAATTTATCTTATAGACAGTTTGAATTTTTTTTGGAAATTGCCTTCCGAAGCCAGCTGGGGTCACTCGTTCTCCCACTGTGTTTGAATTACTTATATTTTGGAAGCTGGCTGAGCTGACTCAGGTTCTGAGATCCTTTGTAGCCTAGGGCTCTCTACTGAGCAACAGACCAGAACATCCAATTGCTTACTCAGTGATTCCACCTGAACCTCCACAAACTCCATCCTGTTAAAACCGAATACTTTAAAATATTGGATGATGGGAGGAAATCTAACTTTGGGTGGTGAATGCACAATGCAATATCTACATGACTTACTGTTGAAGGGTACACTGGAAACTTATTTGATGTCATTAATCAATGTCACACCAATAATTTTAATTAAAAAAATATAAAAGCATCCTAATGATTTATAAAAAAAGAAGAATTGATTACTTTATTTGACGTTCAGACCTGGTGTTTCTTATCTCAGGGAACACCACGTCTGCCAGCTTTCCTGGTCTGCAAACTAGAGATATGGGAGATGTCCCTCTCTCCCTCATCCCCCAGAGCTTGTCTCCCAAGTCTTGTCAATCGCATCTCCTTTAAGTATTCCTCCAATTTGCCCACTTCAGTTCTTTCCATCACCGCTATAGTCCAAACTACTGATCTGCTCTTCATCGCTAGCCTATAGAGTAGTTCTCATTTTCTAGAATTTTATATAAATGACATCACATCATATGTATGCTTTTTTGGTTGACCTTTTCCTCTTACTTAGCATAATTATTTTAAGATTCATCCATGCTGATGTATGTATCCATAATTTGTTCTTCTTGCTGAATATTATTCCATTGTAAAAATATACCATAGAATAAAATTATATGTGTATAAAATTAAGGCCCAGGGCAGATTTTCCCACTCCTTGTCTCAGGCCTCTCCTTGGTGCCACACCCCCACCCCAAAGATCAAGAACCCTCTCGAAGATCAGAACTGTCCAGCATGCACATCATGACGTCGTGATTCTTCACCCGGGTCTTTTGTGCAGGTCCCAGAGCAGTTTCTGCAACATCTGGAGGTCAGCCTCACATGGCTCCTGCTGCCTCCAGTGGCAGAGACTTGTCACTGCAATGGGCCTGTCTGCTCCTCGGATGACTCTCTGAATCCCCCAGAGTGCCTTGCACATGACTGGCGATCAATAAATGTCCGCTGATCAAGTTGCTGTTAATGAATAGTGATGGCTTCATCAGTGAATACTGATGGATTTGGGATTCCTGCTCATTCTGGACAACAAACCAGGGCTTTTGCCAAGGAGGCAGAAAAGAATTCCCAATAAGCTGGATATACTCCAGTCTGCTACATGGACAAATCTGTAATGGATTCAGGCGGAGAGTGTGGGGATCTCTCTGCTGTCATGGTGACTCAAAAAAAAAAAAAAAAAGATTCTTCTGTCCCAGACATCGAGACTCTGAAGTAATGGCCCTTTTAAAATTGAATCATATTAATAGATCTACCTGACTGAACAATGTATTTCTTCCTTTCTTTTTATTAGATGCATTATTAACTTGGCTAGCAGCAAGACCTCATAAATGCAAAGTGCCCATCCAAGAAGAATACAACTTCTAGCACAGAATAAATAAGGATGCAACTCACCAATTCCAGAGATGCTTTGGGCTGTAGATTCATGTAGGACCCGGGTTGTGTGTGAGTCACTTCTGTTGGGTGAATCCTCAAAATCTGGCACTGCCTACCAAGGCGAGCAGATCAGGCTGGTGACAACGCATCAGAGGGAAGCTGGGAAGGGAACAAATAAGTTTCACAGAAGTTCTACGTTGTGCAAGAGATTAATTGCAAAAATCTTGAATCTTACTGTTCTCCCGCCCCAGGGTCACGTTTTGACGTTTGAATCTAATTATATTTAGCGTTTATTGAGCAAATAATGTGGTGAATAGACTCTAAAATGGGTC